TAAAATACTGCAATAACTACATTCTGCAAATTTTGTTACAAGCTCAGAGTTTTAATTTTGCAATCAAGGGACAACAATATTGAAAAGTTGAAAGTTTTTCATTGAATATCAAGGGAGTTTGATTATTTTAAAATCACAGCTGGGCACCAGTCAAATCTGTTTGGGTCGTCAGAAATGGCTGCGGCCTTTGTAACTTTCAACTGCTGCGTGTAGCTTTCTTGACATGGAGAACAGCGATGTCAAGAGGCATTTTAAAAGGATATGTCTAAGTCAACCATGCTGAACATATATGCGAAGAAATCTGTGCCATACATATTTATGAGCATTCTTTATCATTTTGCTAATTTTCATAAATTATTCAATCTGATGCTCCAGGTAAGAGAATTAACATTCAGTTTTATAATATATCTCCAAACATTCAATGCTTTACATGCCATTATATCAATTTCTTTTGTTCCGCCAATACAAGAATACTGTTTTATAATATATAACTCCAGGAAAGAGTTTAATATAGGAGGTAATGAATACATGTATTACACAGTGAAATGTACATAAACCTTTAAATTTCACAAATTCAGTTAGAACTCTTCAATTCAACGCTGAATCCATTGATTTATATAACCCATTTTAGTGGAATGTCTTTCATAACAATAGTCCATACACATGTATAGCTTTAAATAAAATGATCCCTGCGGACATTGATGTGATTTTTTCTTCATATACAAATTATTTCATGGTCAAGATAAGAGGATCAGCTACCCGCAAAAGAATGTGGTAAAATATGACTGAAGCTGCGAAGAGACAGGCACCGATGAAGGAACCGCACAAGATAATCAGGCCCCCCAGCAATATCACGTCAGAGATCGACCCAGAATAAACAAACAACTGAAATTCATCCCTCTCTGGAAATCCTGGTTGATGTGCTGCCGCATTGTTGTTCCGACTCCCTGCGAAATTCCGGGATCACCCTCGTAAGTTAATCTGGGGGACACCTTTGTTTACATAAGATAGGTAACTGACACGGGGATCAGAAAGCATATACTTAAGATGTACGGCTGAAATGTGTTATTTCAGATAAACATAACACTTGCCACCAGCTTCTAATGGGACTAACCCCGTTTTTATCAAACGAAAATTTTAAAAATTCCAAAAGTAAGAGATAAACTTCTCAAAAGATATCTAAAGGGAAGGCGACAAATTTATTTAAAAAAAAAAAAACTTGAGTAATATTAACTCTGTCTCCAGGAATAATGATAAATTCCAGCTGAGAGGATCCTACTCTGACTAGTATCTCAGGAAGGAACAAAGTTCAACAAAAAGGTCACCCACACAAAAATATGGAACATCTAAATGACACCTAAATCACGAAAAAGTACCGAGGACTCCTTCCTGACTGAATTTGGTCATTTTGACCTGATTTTAATCAGTGGACAAGTAGGATTATCAATGACCATATCTCTCCTATCTTATGTTCTTAACAAGGTGATTGTTCAAAGAATTCCGTCATTAAAATTCCCATTGAAAAATTTATTTTCTTGAAGAGTTCTTTAATGATACTTTTATCATACAGGAAGGATTTTTACCTCTGAATGTTTATATATATAGACAAGGTAATGCTAATGTTTATTTTATGGGCATCTTCTTTATGGTTTATTTCATCACATACAAAGAAAATGACGTGCACAAGATGATTTTCATATGCATGTTTATACTACTGTTCTGGGAGGGTCCTGATTATATTAAGCTAATTTCAAGAATGAAATCTTTTTCAGAAAACAAACAAAACACACCTTACTATTTTCCTCATCCATCATTAAAGTACACACAATTAATTAAACTTATTCACCAACATGACTGGCAAAATTTCATTCAGGATCTAAGAGCTTTCAGCTCCATCAATCACAATTTCAATGGACACAGTCTGGGAATTGTTTGTAGATATAAAGGACAACAATGGGAGAGTCTCAAGAATTTGTGATGAGTTGTCAATTACACTAAATATCAAAATATGGAACAATCCAAACTGTCTGTTAAGGATGACTTATTACAGTATGAAACAGATTGAAGCTAGAAACATTCCAATGGACTGATGTTACCAACAGAAAAGTATAATATGTCATATCAGAACTCAGCATTGCAGCTATGGAAAATTCATGTTGCAAAAGTGCTGCTTGATAGTGTGCAAGTATTGGTTTGACATTATCACTAATATAGTGGAGCATCAGTAATCCGGAAACCAATAATCTGAACGCTTTAAGTTCTGGACAAAAATCATGGAGAACAGAGTTTACGTTTACAGTAAATCACTTTTTATTTGTGAGAACTTTATTTTCATGTAGTTACGCGAGACCATCTGCTGGCGAAAGTTTCATTCTCATGTAAAATTCGATTATTAAAGATTGTATGGAGCATTAATCAAAATTCATGAAAATTTTGTTTCGCTTATGAAATACAAAACAACAATCTCACGTAAAAATTTTGTGACCTACAGTATATCTACCAATTTAAAAAAGTTTATTTCAGTAATTTGAAGGCTTCCTTAATCCGAAGTTGGGAACATATGCATCCAGTTTAATGAGGCTCAACTGTATATGATGGGGAGAGAGATCTGTTATAATGAGAGAGTAAATGTCCTTTCATAACAGAATTGCTAGCCCTGAAGTTCAACATCTTAAATAATGTTTGTACAAGCTAAAAATTCAAAAAAAAAAAGTTGTCAGCCCTGCCAAAACAGTCTCAGACTAGTGGGAAAAGAGAAATTTTGGACACTGTCTAAGAAGCAATATTTCAGTTTAACTATCCGTACATACTTGTTCGAGACTTGAGCATAAGCAAAATATCCAAAAGGAACAATATACAAAACAGAAGGAACTCATAATGACATCTCAGAGAGGGTCTCTCGTGCACTTAATGACCTCATTTGTTTACACGCTATTTTCTACGATATTAAAGGTATAAATATCAATACAAACAACTGACACCAGCCGTCACCTGTCGTAGAAAGTGTTATTAAATTAGAGTTCGTCATGGCTTATCTGATGGCAAAATTGACCCTGTGTCAAATTTAGAATGAACCATCGCCAGATATTTCAATTAGATAGCATTATTTCTTTCAGAAGTATATATAATTTACGCGATGAAATATCATATAAATATCTTGACGTCATTCAAAAAATAAGAATGAAAATATACCCAGCTTACCGGTTCCACGCAAGACTGAGATCGTAAGATCCTTTTCCGTACTTTCTGACCCTTTCCGGTCATCATTTTTCCACAATGAAAATGTTAAATTTAGTTTCAACAAACCAATTAATCCATAAATTCTAAAAACAACATCCAGAATGAAACGTTAAAGACTGCAGGAAATATTGCTCCAGAACTCTTCAAAACGGAAGGGTATAATACTCCTATCAACATGACGATCAGAAAAAACAAGTGAACATGCATGAAATAAAAAATTAAAACTGGTGTCAAAATTGTCAAAAATAATATCATGTGCACGTATCAATCATTGTGCTGGGTTTGTTTTTTGAACTTACTCTTTAGTTATTCACAAACTACTGTATTCTTGAATTAAATTACCATTTCTTAATGACTATTGTCATGTCCCTGTGGTTAAGAACTGTCCAAGAAGCATTAAGTTTTCAGGATATACTTTCTTGTTAAAGACAGTACACCTCTATACTCTCGCAAAGGAAATGCATAAACCTTGTGAATATGAACACAGTGATACTATCTAAGGACACAATGTCTTTCACACATAATGTTTTCAAAAGTTTTTAAAATCGTGTTATGTAATGTAAAAGAAAACTTTAAAATTCTGTTTTGAAAGGATTTTTTTTTTTATATCTGTGTTCAAGAACATTATCAAGGTTATGATTTGGTCTAGACATCTAGATACAATGACTTTACTGTTGTCTATTGTTAAAATTCTATACCGATTCACTGAATACTTAATGAGCCAAGGGAAATAACTCCAACAAAATATTTCATTAAGCTGATCTTTGCCTCACACGTAATTGTTATTTTGGAGGTTGCAGCAGAAAATGGTGAAAAAAAAAAAGAATTGTAGTTTGGTGTCATTTAAAAACAACAAGGGTTAGGATTTGTCTACCTGCTTGACAAAATGAATCAATTTTAGCTCAACAAAACTTGTAAGTAAAAATAAAAGAAGATATTCAAACTCAATCTCTAATGTAATGTGATCACGGAGAAGAAAGCAAGGAAAAATTCAGTGAATATGTATCTGACAATACTCTAAGAATTCTTAATTTAAGATAAGCAATTTATTTTACATAAAAAATCCGAGACATCTCCTGTGTCAACCACAGATTAGCAGTCCCTGTAATCATAAAATATTATCTTTCCATTTGATCTCAATCAAGCATGACCCAAGTTTCTCCTCATATATCAGGTCCTGTCCGTGCCTTGTAAACGTTCAGCAGACGATGGTCTTTTCCTTTTATTAACTTGGTCCTTGGGTACTTTAAACCCTTTTGTATTTTGTAAAATCTTAAAATCTAAACCTGGCAACTTTCTTGGGTTACTATTTGACCATAACGTAGCTCAGAGCACTCCACGAATCATACACAGCTCACTATATAAATGCAATTTCACAGATTTAATAGAATTGGTATATCCAAAAAATTATGCTATTCAGCAGTAAGACTGAGTCCTTCATTAGCTATCCATGCAGAAAAAACCTGTGTAACTCTATGACATAATAAATCAGAGCCCTCTAACTATCTATGCTGAAATCTGGAGTTCTTCTCATAATGCATTTTCTCCTGCTGTCTATGCTTAATTATTACTAAACAACACACACAGACAGAGTGATTACCTTTCAAGTCTATTGTAGGTATAGATGTAAAGGTCAGACTTGCAGGTAGATGCTGAAATCTAAAGCCACAACACAGACAGACAGACAAAGTGATTACTTCTGGTAACTTGACTTTACAAGCCATCTGCCTATTGTAGAAAAGTATAAAAGTTAGACTTACAGGTAGGTGCAGAAGAGTATCAAGACTGTACGGTGAGGAACCGCGTCTCAGATTACAGAAATCCACGAATGAATCGTCCGACGTATACTTCTTGTCTAGTAATCTACAATACAGATAGTCATATCAAACACTCTTCAAGAACAAGTACACACGTATTTGAATAAAACAATCACAATAAAATGTTGTCCATTCCCCAAAATGGAGTCTATATGATACAGATAAGCTAGCTAGTTTAAAACTGTTACACTTGCATGCAGAAGAGATCTATTGCAACAACCATCCATTTCTTAACTGCCTATGTCGTGCAGTCTTTTAAATGTCAAAACTCTACAAACTGAGATCACCAAAAAATAAAACTTAACAAGTATTGTATCAGAAAACAAGAATGGATAATTTTGCACACTCTCTCTTCAAACACAATGCGCAATTTAAAAAAAAAAATTTCCCCTTTACTTTGCAAAAAATCACTAGAATTCATATCACATTTCATTTCAAAAACAAGTAATAACTTCTGACACCATGCAGATCTTGTTTTTTATTCAATATGATTTTGCTATCACTGCCCAGATTTAGAAATATTTAGGTGGTCTTCTCCCATCTGAGTACACATCTTCAAAAGACATTTTACGAATCTTTTCATCTTAACACAACATCTGTACAGGTCTCAAACTTATTGACGTTGAACAGAAATCTCTGTTGTTAAAGGTATAGGAGTATTGTGATTCTGTCACTACTTTCCCAATTGCGTGAATTTGACTTATTACTGCATTCATTTATAATCGTAATCAGTGTTCTGTGAAGATTTTTTTTTTTATTACAACTTTATTGATTCCCAACCCAGAAATGGAAGTCAGTATTGTGATGACATCTATATAATAATCTGATAATGCTTACTGATGCCAGTCGTTTAAAGGTCACTGACCTTGTAGAGATTTACTTGGTACAATGTACATACATACAGACTTTGGCAACATTACTGTTAATGTACCTTCTTTTAACATATTGAAAATTTGTACAACTTTGGTCCTGAACAAGGTAATATATATTACTGGTAATTTATTTATCATATATAATGTTAATTCATAGTTCGCAGTAGATGACATTATGTAATTCACTAAAATATAAATCTCACTAAAATAAGGACATTAACATTATATTTCTCATACTTTTCAAAATAATTTTTAAAATATATTTCCATTTTGAGAATATGGCCCTTATGAATGATGCAATTCTTAATGACTTTTCTTGATTCAATTAATAATAATTTATGATAAAAGCTTTTAGAATCAAAATTTATTTTAAGAATACTTTGTGGTCCATAGAAAACTCACAAAGCAACAGATTTGTATAATTTCAGCCATTTCTAGGTTTACATTAAATATTCAGTTTGCCAGCAGAGGAATGCAATCACACCTGTGCAGCAATGCAATTGTCGTGAAAGCATTCAACAGTGACAAACATAATATATCAACATCTCTGAAAATTAAACTTAACTTACTATTTATAAACAGAATTTTATAAATTAATTAAAACTCAACATTTCAGTAAGAAGAATATCATTCAAAATGCTAGAGTATACTCACTGTCTGGTTTTGGGATAGTTGTTGCAATATTCCTCGTAAACTGTCCACAACTTTGTGCTAAAGAGGCTCCCTGCAACGGCATTAAAATTCACAATGAAATTCAAATACACATAAAAAAAAAAGGCAAAGAAAAATGCTCTCAATTAAAACCCTGAAATTAGGTAACGTTACACTTTTCTGTTGTGTTCTGTTGTTATGAAAGAGACGAGACTGAGTGAATGAGCTGCACCGATTTAAACAGACTACTGCAAAAAGTCTGAATGAGGGGAGTCAATTATGATCATACACGAATCAATTCCACTTCATAATTCTTACACAGATTGAACCTGATCTCGAGCAGGCTCATGAAATGAGTCAACTTCCACTCTAGAGTACAAAAACCCAGGTCAGGAAGCCTACAGATTGATCTTAAGGTGAACAGATTTTCATTCGTTGTTTCCTTTTTTCTGATATAGCAATTTAAAATTATTTAAGTATAGCTTCCTTCACTTTTCAGACTTGGCTGTCGTGAGAAACTACTCTAAGCTTCCTATGTAATTTCATTCACTCAAATTTAGAATAAAAGGGAGAACTGCCATGAATGAAGTACTTAACAAAACAAACCTCATCAATTCTTCCCACTCAAATGAAAATTGTTAAGAATATACCCTGCGGTTTATATATATAATAGAATTTTAATATGGATGTCCATGCAAGTGATAAAAATAATTATTATATATATAGAAAACATACCTCAATAGTGGCCATGAATTTTTAAAAAAAAAATTTCTGTAAATGAAGTAATTGCCTTATAAAACACACCTGGGTAAACCTATGAATATATATTACACTGCACTACTATCAAACATTCATCCCATCCATTGAAGATTCATTTGTTCAACAAGGTTTGAATTCTAATATACGGCCATGCCCACTTTGGTTGTACAATTAGAGCACACACCTGTAGAAATGGGAGAGCCTTTCTTATGGTTTGATAACTATGCCTTTCTTCTTAAGGTTTGATATCTGTATTACAGGACACCCTTTAGAAATTTAAATATTTATACTAATTAATTATTATATCACTAATAAAGTCAGGTGATAGAAGTGACTTTTACAACATGACCTCTGACCTCAGGAAGAATGGAATCATTGTGCAATTTGTTTACATTAGGTAACGATTGTTTTGTGATAAAACTTTGTAAAACAAACAAAACCTGCTGAAGATCACATACCATTGTAATATACGGGGTATTAGTTTCTGTTAATGGACTTCGGTCAACCTTGAAATCCAATGAAGGGCATCAGTCAACCTTAAATTGACCACAAGGGGGCTCGACCTGCACTTGACCTCTACTTGATAATTAAAGTGCGTGTGTCCTTAATACGTAACTTTAACATATAAAATGTAACATATCCTCTCATTAAACCTGTGCTTCTTAATTGAGTGATCCCTTAAGAAAACACACTGTGTGATTTGTACATGCCAACTAGAGTATGATTTGAAGTTAGTACCTTTTATTATACCTCTACTAATTTTTCCCTATATAGAACTAGATCGTTAGATATAAATAGATCCCTAGAAATCACTGTAAATGGACTTACCGTATATACTCGCCTATAAGTCGGTTATTTTGGGAGTTCAACTTTGGTCCAAAACTCTTTATCTGACTTATACCCAATTTACAAGAAGATTGATACTTTAGAGGGTCAATCCCTCTAATTTAAGCTTTAAAAATACAATTGACTTGTAGGCGGACCGACTTATAGGCGAGTATATACGGTACCCTCATTTTGCTGGGTATTAATTAGTCAAGTGAGCTAATCCCTGCTTGGAAATTATATCGGTATCGCTGTGAATGGACTATATAATCTTCATTTTGCTATGTGTTAGTCTATTAAACTAATCCCTGCTTTGAAATTTGTGTCGGTATAATTAAATAGTTAAAAAGTATATCACTGAGGGAGTTAGCAAGATTCAAGTTCCCCCCAATCAGGAATATTTCACTCGGCTTCGCCGCTGGGAATACTCCTGGCCTCAGGGAACTGGGATTCTTGCCAACACCCTCAATGGTATACTTTATCTGTGTAATGGTTTGGGCCGTGGATATCGGCCTGGGAAGCTCAGTCGGTAGAGCACCTGACTAGTGATGCAGGGGTCCAGGGTTCGAATCCCGGTCCAGCCATGCATTTTCTCCTTTCCACTTACATCTGTATAATAACTTCATATCTTTTTAAATACAACCACATATCAAAAAATACACCTACGCCAAATTGCAGTATTATTTGTTTTATTTATTATATTTAATAAGTATACCTGGTTTTCTTATAACCTTAAAATGCCAAGAACAATAAATTTTAGTTTAACCAACAGTTACACATATCCTATGTTAACTTAATTTGACATCCAAACAATGTCACAATCCCTAAGGAACTTCTTAAACAAGAAATGAATTCTAGAAAGCACAGCATAAACTGGATGGTATACATTAAAATCTTAACCTAAGTCTGGTTCAAAACAGCATGCAGTAAAACTCAGTTATAACGAAGTCACTGGGACCTGTGAAATTACTTCGCTATATCTGTAATTTGTTATATCCGTACAAGGAATTAGTAAAATTTATTTATAGCTGGCGATCCACGAAAACTTCGCTATATCCGTGAATTTGCAATATCTGTGTTTGTACTAAACAAGTTTTACTGTATATGTATGCTTAATACACTGGTAATAACATAGTTAACCATAAATATATAGTTTCCTTGAAGGGTTGAAAACTTAACAATATCTGGCTTTTAGAAATTTTGAGAGTGAAACTTTGATGGTTTATCAATATTTGACGTGAAATCACTCTTTAACATGAATTAAAGAAAGCTGAAGAATGGATCAAAACTCTGACAATTATTATTCATTCCTTAATTTCATCTACATATCTCGAGCTTCATCAAAGTTTCTACATTTACGGTAATTGTAAAGTGTACAAAATGTTCAAATAGCAATAACTATCATTAGCGCTGACATTGGATATTGCTGATAATGTATTATTTACATGTCATTAGCCTATATAGATGTATAATGCATACATTTCACGATAATGTTAAGACATTTTCCTCTATAAGTGAGATAACTTGGTGCTCTTCAAAATATTAACATGAAATGGCTCAATAATTTTATTACAACACATGGAATTCAGTTAATCCTAGTTAATCTATGTATATAGACAGTATCTCAAAATAACTTATTTACCAGATCGAGTTTAAAGCAATTAATAGATGGAATGCAATGCAATTGAAGCTCAGAGAACTCTTAATATAATGTACTAAATATTCTATCCATGAATATGATGATGAAGAAAATTGAACTGAGTTCCCTAAAATGTTTTGGAAAATGCATACTTACAATGAGACATGCATCAAGTTCAGAGGGATCCTCAATATATAAATATAGCCTACAAACTTATAAGCAATGCTTGAAGTCTTTAGTCCACCACACCTACTAAAGCTACTAATACACTGCAGCTTAATCAGTGAGATTCCCTACCCACTGACCCGCCATTAACCTTAAAAAAACTTACATAACTATTGGACATTTTAGATATTGTCATGAAAACCGACTGTCAATGAACCATAACAACATAGAACCAATTGACCGGCAGTAATTCCGTTTGAGGTGGATTTACAATACTGTACCTATCTCTTTGGCAGATCAAACGACCATAAGAGGAGAATTTGCATGGAGAGAATTGGGTGCTTTTCAATATAGACCTACTAATTGCATATCTGTGTCTTTAACTACATGGATTCGAATTTGCTTTTAATGTCGAAAAGATCGTGAAGAAAGCCTGGGTTTACATACATTAATACTACTTAATCTCTGCATTGAGGGAGAAAATGGGTAATTGAGCAAATTGTATGCATTTTTATCATGGTGTTGTCATATTTTTTGTAAAGCTATTTTCTTTTGCCCAGAGCTGAAACATTTTGTGAAATCTTCAATTACACATTCTTTTCAACTACTTTAAAATGGGGTTGAATTTCATCGTAGAAAATCATAGAGATACAAACAGCTGACTTCAAATGAAACATAATTCCTCTGATAATACAGAGGGAAGTTTAAGATTTCTTTTTTAATTTCTTCTTTAAGCAGAACAGCTAAAAGACAATTTGGATACAATCTTTTTCTGTTCTTCATATACTGATATGGACCTAAAGTAACTCCTTCCTCCATACAGACAGTTTAAATCGCATTAAAATTATCTGACAGATTTTCTTGCATGAGGTTTTTTGTGGTACCCAAGTTCTATACTTGGACAAAGAAAAAAACCCTCACAAAAACGAAACTGATTAACTGATGAGTAATTACGGAATCAATGACCCATTAAATGTCGAGACCACCCTAAAAACTCTTCACCATACAAATTAATCAACATTAAACACTCTTATCATTTCTGAAGATCTTAAAACACAGAAAAAGGCAATGAAAACCAAAAAAAAAATTCAACACAAATTTACCACAAAAAAGTCTACAATTTCACTGCTTTTCTGCTTTGTTGAGCAGCTTTAAGTATTTATTTACAAACAAATTCCTTTTTCATTCTGTGCCCAAATATATTCTCCGGATTTGTAGATTGAGCCGTGTAATGGAGCCTTGTTACAGGTGCTATCGTGGCCCTATCTGACCTGCCCAAATACTTATCTCACCCTAAATCTACCCCCTTTTTCTTTTTTATACATACTGTGTTAATGGGACACTTAAAAAAACAGGTTAAGTAAAAATAATATGAAATTCCAGTACCAAGGTCACCGATACAAACACATGTTCTAATTAAATTAATAATTTAACGATCATTAATTATTAATCCACCCTGAAACTGGCAGTTTCAAAAAAGAAGAAGATGATGATGATGATGACAATTTGATGATTCTATTCTTCGGCAATGATGATGATATAATGATGGTTCTACTGTTCTACTGCAGTGTTTCAATACTAACCAATCTGTGAGGAATTCTGATCCCAAGACTTCAAGGTGTCTTCAAGCTACAAAAAAATATAATATTGTATTAAGTAAATCTTCATTTAAGTTAAAGGTCTGGTTAAGTTAGATCATATTCTTTGATATTTAAGACTACTTGTATTCAGATATCTGGATATATATTTCAATCATCGTATTACCAGTTTCAAATGTCAGTTATTTTCAAATGCAGAGAAAACTGCTTAAATTGATCCATTTTTAATACTAATTCCTGAGCCTTAATCAACGAAGCACAAAGAAGAAAACCCCACCTTTTTCTATCCTCTTACATCACAAAACTATGATAAAAATGACACACATGACACAGACAATTAAGATGCGGAACTATAGTGATGCAGTGACTTTTTTCAATCCCTTTAACAATAAGGCTTAGATCCTCCCTTACTGTACCCAACTGTAAACACTACACCCACTAAAACATGTTGTTTTTCATGTTCACTAAGTGTACATAAATTTGATTATTGGAGCTTATCAAACTGTTCCAATCAAAAAAAATTTAACACTGGGGCAATTAAAATCTAACAATTGTGGCTTGAATCAAAATGAATTTACTGATACATAACTACAAAGAAACAGGGCCACTTTAGAAGATTTTAATGATTTCATTACTGGAGCATAGTCACTGATGTGATCGTGAGGAGACATGGAAAGGATTACATCTATACAGATTTAAACAGTTTGATTAGAAATTCTTCACTCACTATTAGTATAATAAATATAAGGATATATTGATGGTTATGCAACTGCTATATGAAACTTATGCCCACATTTCACAGGTCATGATCATCTATTTGTGGTCAGGTGCATTTTAATTTGAAGGCAAACTTTCTGGATACATTTTGTTTTTTTATTTTTCACATCATTTCTGGACCAGCACATTGATTGCTTAAGGTCTAACACAATAAAAATGGGCTATAACTCTAATTTGAATTAGACATGCATATCCTTTAACATGGGTTGCTTTAAGGTTTTTAGTCATCATATGACTAAATAGTATTGTTTCCATTTTTAAAAAATTACATCTAGGAGCTTATAAGTAGTTAAAATATAAACCTTGCTCAATACCCTTATTTCACTTTCAGTTGGTCCAAACATTTTAAAGGATTTTCCTTTTGAACAATTTTTTTTATTAGACTTTGACCACAGCAATACAAGGGTTGAGACACCTTAACTGTGTTCAGCTGTATTCAAGATAAACAGGATACAGATTAAAGTGGTTGCACTGTAGTAATGCACACTCACAACAGAGGGAAATCAATATCAATTTCATATATCATACTGCAGACAGATAATTAATTAGGATTTTTTTGATGGTTAATCATTAACAGATAATCAAGTGTGACATTTAACGACCGTGACAGTTATTAGACTGTATCTTTTTGATTTTGTGTGATGTCTAATTAAATCTCTGACTATACACCTGAAACTCTGCTCAATTCTCTGTCACCTTGAATTTGATAAGCAGATTTATGTACAACACTGCATTTACACCTTATGAACTTATATATAGTCATACAGGACAAAAATTATTAATATGATGCATATATTGTGCATTTTATTTCTGTCACAGAATCTAGTTTCCGAGATCATGCTTAAATTTCTACCATTTATTAATTTAAAAATTGAAATATTTGGAACATTACATTTGGAAATGCGTCATTCTGTCACGACTTTTATTGCACCAAGCATGATGTAGCAGTTCAGTCTTGCATGTATTTATACACCATACACATGCACCTATTGAAAGGTGTAAGGGGTTTCAATGCCTACAGTAACAGTGACTAATGAATTCAAACTGCTTTTTTAAATAACTTAAGACTATAATAAGGAAAAATCATAAACTATTTGCCTCCATCTGCTTTAGTTTAGCAGCAATTAAATCAGACTGGTGGTATTCTGTGGTATTCTGTGGTATATACTATGGTATTCTATGGTATTGTGTGGTATACTGTGGTATTGTGTGGTATACTGTGGTATATTGTGGTATACTGTAGTATTCTGTGGTATACTGTAGTAGTCTGTGGTGTATTGTTGTATCATGTGGTATACTGTGGTATTCTGTTGTATCTTGTGGTATACTATGGTATTCTGTGGTATATTATACTGGGTGAAGTCATCTGTCTGTGTCCTCAAAATTTTGTTTAATTATATTTGACTCCTAATATATAAATCATATGTAACATTGAAGTCTTTGTTTATTATAGATAAATAGATAGAAGATATGTTACTCTGTGACCCAAATAAGTGTGCAAGTTACAAAGCTCAGATCATTCTGAATGACCTTGAGAAACATCTTGAGGTCAGGTAATTACAAGAATTTTTTAAATAAAGCAATAACTGTGTGATATATATCCATGATTTTTTAGTGGTCAAAAAGATGTAAAGGCACTAAATTAATTAAAAACAAATGTACATAGAGCTTTCCCCATTTTTTTAAATGTCAAAATGTATTGTAAAACTTGGAATTGAAGATCCAACTTGAATCAGACATATGGTCTTGCTTCCAGCAAAAGTTGCATGTCCACACCATGTAAAATTGTTCTCAATCATGTGATACAAATATGTTATATAAATCCAACAACTGGAGTACAAGTACTTTCTGTCCACAAGTAAACAGGGGCAAGAAACCTTGACCCTTGTGACATATGCTAAAAATTATAGTCCTGAAATATTAATATTTCTTAATAAAGCAATAACTACTGAATCATATATATTCTATGGGTTTCAGGAAAACAGAATTCAAATTTGAAAAGTCAATTATATCTGTATGATAATTAAGTCAATAAATTTTAACACATTACTGGTGTCAAAAATTACTCAAGAGTTTTCAAAATTCCATCTAAAACATCTGCATTTACATGTTCTGCACTTTGGATATTCAAATAACTGTCTGCAAAATAGAAGTTTTTATCAATGAAACCTTAATTCTCATAACTGCATAAATACTATAGTCATTTATAACCTTGGAGTTTCACTTTTACATATTTATTGTCAAAAACAACATAATTTCTTCTCTCTTCTTGGTGGTGATAATCTATCAATGCATGCATAAATAACAAATCTGACAACAACACAATTATCACTACCAAATAATCGGTAGGTCCATCATTTTTTCAAAACACATAAAACTCACAAAGCACCTAATGAAAAATTCAATGTATAGATTACAAAGGCCTGTATTTACATCACATTATCAAATTATGAAAGTCTTGTTGCATTAAGAAAAAAAAAACCCCTGCTCAAATTACAGTCGCCGGTAATCTTTGTGAAAATCTGGCTCTATAGTGCAAGTCTCAGTAGTCGAAGCAAAAAGTACGAACTTGCTATTAGAACAAAGGACTTCCTCCTTATATATCTGTGACACAGGAGACTGAATGACGGAGAAGTCAATATACAAAAGGAAATCTTATCTATAGCTCACAAAACTACTTCTCTTGCACACTTTAAAACCATTATGGATAAAATATCGCCTACATGTCAACAGCTTCAACATAAGATAGATTGAACAATGTCATGAAAGAGAACTGTTTCTGTTCTAGTATGTGTAGCAGAAGTCTGACATCTTAACTTTTTTTTTTTTTAAAAAAATCAACATACATGAAATTTTGTGGCCTTCTCATTTTTTTAATCATAAGACTGACTTTCTAACTCAGGTACCTATAAAAAATCTAATTTTAAGGAGGGGATTCCATGCCACACCAAACTTCTATTTACTGGATCAGTATCTCCTGAAAAATGAATTCATCATTGAAAGAATAATAAAAGCTATTAATTATTTCTTATATATAAATATTTTTATAGAAAAAATGAAAAATTGATTGTTTTGGTTGGAAATAAGACACTTGAAAGTTAAGTGATGCATAAATATCTAATAAAACATGCCAAGAAGAGTCGAACATTTTACTTATTTTAATTTAAAAAGAAATAATTAATATGAATAGAAAAATTATAATTTATTAATATTTTTAACATTTTTTTTCTAAGATCTCAAATAATTCAAACCTTATACTGGTCTTTCAATTATGAAATCATATGTCAAAAGAAATACTTTAAACATCCATTTAATAAAATTTTAGTGTGGCATACAGTGGCTGCAACGTTACTGTTGACAAACCAATCGTGTAGAAACGTTCGTGTAACGTGCGTGATCTTTTGTGTAACTTGCAAGATCGTGCGTGTATCAGACTCAATCGTTTGCTGTTTTAATTGTGCACGATCGTGCATTAAGAAACATGTAAATTTTGTTTTGTAAGTTTTTATCGGAATGTTATTTGTTATACATGTACAAGCATTTCACTTGTCTGTTTCTTTTTTTCAATCCAAATAAAATAGATTAAGCGCGATTTACATAATTGAAAGCAGAACGAACTAATTATCGCTTGAAAATAAGCAATATAGTAAGTCGTACAATATTGCATTTTTGTCAAATAGCGTGAATTTTTTGTAATAAACTGTACTTAGATGTTTAAGGATTTTTTCTCTGATGTTAATTATGTTTACTTCTAATTATGGTCAAGATAATTTTAAAATCAATAGATCAAATACAGGTAAACTTCGGTATCTCGACATCGGATATGTCGACAACCTGGGATATGTCGACGTCCTTCCGCGGTCCCGGTAGTATTTACTATATAAATGATTTCCAAAAACCCTGATATGTCGACCTCGGTAATGTCGACAACCCGGGTTATCTCGACGTATATTCACAGTCCCAAGAGCAAAATTTACCTGGTATATGTCGACATCGGCAATTTTCTGCTCTACTGAACCTAACTGTTTGTCAGATAGGGTCGCTCGTCACGCGCAGACGACTCCGGGTATCTCGACGTCGTCAAAATTTCACACCTTTCACACCCATGTTTTGACTGCACGCTGCTTAATTAATTCTATAGACTCTGTTTGTAGGTGGATCCCAAGCCCCCTCGGCGACTTTGGAAAGTTAATTGCTTAATGTTCAACTTGGGTAATATCATTGCTTAATCTACACGATTCTGCGTAAATGTAAAGACGGTTATATATATCGAAACCTAACATAACTTTTAAATATGAAAGAGATAACTAAAATTCAATGAATAACAAACACACTGAATAATTCAAACGAAGGAATTAAAAGATGTTTTAATGAAATTTTGTAGTTAAAATGTATTCAACAGGAAACAATCCAACTAACGACACAATTGACCGAATCAGCAGTAATTCATGCATCTGTAACATCACTACGTTAGTTTAAATACACAAATCTCTTTAAATAATTAATTTTAATGTACATTCTTCCTGAATGAAATAAGAAAAAATAATCCGCATTAATTTTTTTCCGTATATCGGATGTTGACTTTTATACGGTTCGAAGTTTATAGAGCGCATTTCGTATCCTGTTCTGACAAAAAGGCAAGTTTAGAAGTTACACGCGAATGCTGTAACTTTGTGCTGAAACTTTGTGAATTAAGAAAGATTTCGATGAAGAACACGTTTTATAAGCAAGATTTTTAAAATAACTTCTTAGATTTTTAATAAAAATAGAAGGAATTCTGAAATATGTTGAGCTACAGTGTATATTGAAGTCATGTACATATAATAAGCTTCTGTTTTGCTATGCATCTTGGACGTCAAGTCTCAACTCTGATATCTCGACACCTCGGATATCTCGACATTTTCCGATGGTCCCGTCGATGTCGAGATAACGAAGTTTACCTGTATTTTTATAATTTCTGCAAATAAATGATTTGTAAAATAATTGTTGATTTTAGAGATTCACAAATGGAAACATGGATATAACTTATAATTTAATTCATTTTCTTGCCATTTTTTTCAAATTTATCCCTTTCTGCATATTATGAAATCCAATTCAATCAAAACTCACGGTCCACCTACATGTACATCTGATAGAACGAAAAAAAAATCAGTTTTCTTAAGTCGGAGAATTACGTAAATAATTATTTGTAATCTTAAATAATTAATAAGTCTTACATGTATTTAGTTCCAGAAATATCCATTTCTATTTTTTTTTTTGAAATAATATCAATAATTATTTGAAATCTAAAATAAGTATTAAGCCTTATTTCGTTTTGAAAATATCAATTCCTAAAGAATTTGAACTATTTTGCCTGAAGAATCGTGCATTTGCGTTAGCAATAGTGTAAGATCTTATAACATGTAGAATCGTGTGCGTGAAGGATCGTTGGTGCGTTAATCGTGCAGAACCGTTCGTGTAACATGATCGTTCGTGTAAGTTGTCAACAATAATGTTGCAGCCACTGTACCACCTTAACTGTAAATGTATCAAATCTGATCAGATACTTCATCAAAGTTATAATAAACCAAAGGCACAGTTAAACAACAGTGCTTAGCCTGTGATTACAGATAGAGGGATAAATTAGCCCTAACAAAATTTAACTTCCGACAAAAGACCATTAATTAGATTGGCTGGATTTGAAAAACAAATTATTGTCTCTGAAATGATCCAAGATTCAGGTGCAAAGACACACATTCACCTTTTCCATAATGAAACCCACTGACTCTTGATGCCTGACCAGAGTCAAGTAAAAGACGCCTCTAAACCGATTGGACAAATTTGTTTCACCTGCGTGACCAAGAAAGACAAGACAGTGAGATCATCATCATCTTTATGTCTTTTACTTTGAAAAATTTAAAAAACAGACTGTTTCTACACAACAGGAACACATTGTAAAATGGATAGAAGTTGTTACCAAGGTCAAAGTATTGTCCTTCTAAGCAAAAGAATCTACAACAACAATCGCCATTTCAATTGCTTTTGAATTTTTCACTTTCAAGTACCTGTGCTAAGTGTGTTTTGACTGCTATTTCAGTCTGGATTCCTAAGGCATAAATGTCATATGAACTTATAAAACTTGATTGAATTGAACTTCTTGGAAAATAAAATTTCTCAACACCAATTTAGTAAAAGCACCTGGTTTGCACAAAAAAGTCTACGTACATAAAAACGTGAATTCTGCATAGAATTCAATTAACAAAACACAGTTTAAAGAGAAAAAAACAAAAAAAAATCTATATTATGTGAAAATTTTAATCACATGCAGGTTATTTTTTTGTATTCATCAACAACTCTTTTGCAACACTGTGCAATATACAATTCAAATTTTAAACGAATTAAAATACAAATTTTAAAATCTGTATGTTAAATTTGGAAAAGTGAGTTTAAACTCTGAACTGCATATGACAGCTTTTTCTAATATGATTACCCTGAAAAATGACCTCCCCATCCGAGTATACTGATTTTTTAAGAATAGCAAAATCTGCCAGAGTGTGTCAAAAAATGCCAACAAGCATACATCAACCACCAAGAGAGCCAGATATATGAATCAAAACACAATTAAACTGATTAAAATGAAGATTTCTCACCGAGCTGATAACAATCGCCAGGCTTCTACACAATGGTTCCACACGAAATGTATGTCAGGGTGACTTTCTGACGAGCAATAAAATCACTACCTACATGAAAGCAGCCATTTACATCAGATATTTAATGTTTTTCCCTTTTAAAGAAATAAATCTCATAATTTGCCCCGTTTATCTTATGATGGTTGCAAGCTTTTGGTGGCAAAAAAGTTCAAACTTTTTATCACATTTCATTCTCTCCCAATTTTTGTAAACAGTTTCGAAAGTCAAAAGAATTATGTTCCCTATAAAATTAGGTGCAACATCTATTCCATTTAATCTCCTCATACATCAACAATAATTATTATTATATTTACCACACAAAAAAAGAGGCTTATATTTTAGATTTGTCTAATTTGACCCTTTGAAAATCTACCTCAATTCACATTGAACCTTTTAAAATTAATTGTACTTAATTGATAATGACCAAATCAGATTTTCTTAAAGTGTGGTTTACCTCTGTTTTGTTCAGTCTGTTCACCTCTTCCCACAGAAATGGTTAAATTCACCACTCGATACAGAATACAGAATCAATACATGTAATACTAAATGTTGAAAGTGCTGATTAACACCTCTATAAAACCTCTTAAAAACAGTTTTAAGATTCTGTATTTTTGTGTCAATTACATTTAGAAACCCCCTCAAACACCTGTCAAGATTTTCAATTAATAAGACTAGTAGGTAGATAATAGAGTACACTTTCTAAAGCAGGTGCTTGGTGCAATTTTTTAACCAATAGTCTAAATACTTCAACAAATAAAGTAGGCAATTACCTACGGTTCCCAACCCCTTTTTTTCAATATTTTTTTAACCTATCACAATGACTAAATATAGATCTATTAAGTGCATGGTCAGATTTATCTGGACATCTGACCAAAACTCCCTGCAGAAATTGTCAAATTTGACCTACTTACCCAATTTTTTGCAAGACTCAGACATACATAGGCTTTAAACCAGGTTTTAGATCATTGAAATGGATTTCTTTTACAGCAAAAGCTACTGAACTTATGCACTCCGAGGATTAACACCTACACTAGAACATGGGTGATCTCTAAAAACTAGATAGATTAGGCAAGTTAAAGACCAACTGTTACTATAACTTTTCTTTTAGTACCTTTATCCACAATATTTAAAAAAAAACAATTCCTGTATTTTTTTCTGAACCTATTGAAAAAAAGTCCAAGCAGTATATAAAAGTGCTTTTCAAATTACTAACATATGACTTACCTATAAAGAAATTCAAATGCTTAACAGGCTGAGAAAGCAGCTACCGACAAACCAAATGCTTCTGAAAGCAGCCCAACTTATGTTGAATAAAACACTCAGTCGTAATCAAAACTCAAGATGCAGAAAATGATCTACGAAACTGAAATACAATATTTACGTCCTCAAAGCACAGAACAAAGTCACAAGATGACCTTGCAATTTTGTTCTTCTTGACTAAGAATGAGCATGTAATTATAGGTCCATGTATAAAGCTATTGCTAACTTTCTAATAGTCTATCATTTCACGGACCAATTTGGAAAACCAACCTGAGAGTTACCCAAGGATCGGGTAAACAGGATGTCCTTGTTATATTGTTATACAGATATGATGGATTTATTGAAATAGAAAGATACTTTAAGAAAAGAAAGTCATTTGAAGAATTAGCATTCTATCAATTTCACAGCAACCTTTATGGCATCTGAACTGGTCACCTACATTGTTTGCTTGTGAATGTGACCTTCACCTTATTTTTTACATTTACTTGTAACCTAAACAGTCTGTGTGTGTCACTAGGTATCCTACACTGTTGTTATATTGCTACGTATCCACTTTGTCTATGTAACCCTGTTAATTGTTACATTGTTTTCTACACTGTCTGTGTACTGTAAGTGTAGTGCCCTGTTGTTTTTATCCACATTGTGTATGTTAAGTGTATAACCCTGTTGGTACATTGTTATTCACATTGTGTATCTTGAGTGTATAATCCTGTTTGTCACTGTTATCCACATTGTGTATCTGTTGTGTATAACTCTGTAGATACATTGTTTTCTATGATTTATATGTCACTATATGAACTATCTCATTTGTATGCCTTCTTCCCTATCACCTATATTGTCTGAATGCTACTAACCTAAATGATGTAGTTTGTCTGTAATTGCCGAAACTTGTTGGTATGATCACCCATTAGTTACATTGTCTGTATATCTGTGTGTGACCAACCTTGGTTGTTTTTTCTGGTTATGTACACCGTCTTTGTATTTGTATGTTACTTTACTTACTTACCTTATGAAATATACCCTTAAGCTACATTGTCTGTGTGTTTGTATGTGACCTACCTTGGTGGTTTTTACCTATTAACTACATTGTCAGTGTGTCTATGTGTGACCTACCTTGGTACTGATCATGGCACTGATGGATAGGATGGGCTCCACCCCTACAAACAGCACTCTATGATCCTCTGAAGTCAGGGAGGAAAACTTCCTACAACAAGACAATATCACCTTCACATAAATGAAGCAATCTCCACAACAAAACAAGACGTGCACTTAACAATGACCCCTGAAACTTCATAACAAGGAAAATTAATTTACCTACTGTGTCTTCAAAACGAAAGTTATTCACTTTCACTAGTTGTCTAAGCAAAATGCTTTTCACATTCTTGCATGTAATACATTTTTATTATATTTAAAAAATTATTATGTTTTAAAAACAATAACATGTTGATTCATTCTTTTTAATTATTTAGTAGGACTAAGCCACGTTATACCATGTAAAAAGAAAAACAGCATAATTCCTCGTGACATTTGGCTTGACATAAACACATGATAAACTGTCTCCCTGACGTGTTCTCTGTTTACTACTGGCAGTTGTTGACTTAAGAACACTAGTCTTCTGACATACATAATTCTACCGTGCATTAGTGACTTAATATATAGAGGATATTCAATGTTTTGTAGTTGGATATGGAATTTATTTCACGAGTGAGACAGGATTTTTTTATATTTTCACGAGTGCGAAGCACGAGTAAAAATATCAAAAAAATCCTGTCTCACGAGTGAAATAATTTCCATATCCAACTACAAAACATTGAATTTTCTATTTATTACATTTTCTTTGATTTTCCCTTTGCCTCTGTCTTTTCTTAACACAATGTAATAGGCTTTGACGTCACAGTTGAGCAGTTGAGATATCATGGCTTAGCAGTTGTGAGATGAAAACATTGTAACATGGATTTAAGCAACATATTTGGGAAGAAAATGGCAGTTTTAGTCTCTGTCAAGATGGTTTAGTTACTATCTCAATCTAATTACAGGCCAGAAATTATGTTTTACTTACTTTGATATCCTTTCACACTGTGAGAGAATATCACTTTGGTATCCTTTCACACTGTGAGAGAATATCACTTTTATTCAATGAATAAATCACAGTATTTCACTGTTGAAAATGTAATAAAATCTCACATTTAATGTTAACAATAGATATTTAAACTATATATAATACTTAGACTTGTGTACATCATTATGTGGTATATCATTCATGCTATATTGAAAAGAAATTATAGTACTGTTATCTATGGCAAGGAATTTATTGTATGGTTGAGCAAAAGAATGAAAAAGAATAGGAAGTTCTATTAATTTTTACCATTGCTGTATCAAAATTTGCAATCAACAATATACATTTTTAAATTTGCACGTGTTTAATTTTTTTTTTTTTTTACCTCTGAATGCAGGTGTTTGAATTAATGTTATTATGAAGTACATGCATGTGTATGTGTGTCCAACATGTATACACTTTTTCAATACAGCTTCTTGACTTTGTACTTCACTGAAAATGGCAAATATAATAAGGGAAAATGAATACTGTTAGTTATTTTTCTTATTCTCCTTTGACTCAAGGAGCAGACAGTTGAATTTGATTGAATATACTTTATTCTCTCAATTTCTCTACTTATTTTAACTAATATATATTCCTTAAGTAAATTCTGACTATGATCAACAGGTACGGTACACAGTGTACAAACACAACACGACCATGTGGCTATGACAATTAAGAGGTGTGGTCAGAACTATCCCCCCTGACCTCAGCGGCTCAGCATAGATGTCCAAGATGCTCCTTAGTCTTTTTCCATACTCTCTCTCACTCCTCAGTAAATCATGGACCAACTCATGCCGGGCATCAATAGCTGCAATATACAGAGAGTTCTCAATCAAAGAGGGATAACTCTATCTTCTGCACTGATGAAAATATGAAAATTATTTTGACAAGAATTTTAAATTATTATTTAATTGGATTTTTATTATTACAGCTGCTTCCTAGCTATTTTAGCTATGCAAGATTCCAGTAGTGAAAATAATATATTTATTTTAATTAATTAATGGATGCTTTTAGTGTAATCTATTTATATATTAATTGGGCACCTGTGAATAGTATAAAGTTCACTAAGGATATGATGAATGACCAAAACTGATTATTTCACATTCCACGCAAGGCCATTGTCACAAACAAACAATAATAGTTTCTGATTTGTCCCCCCAAATCACTGCTATTATCCATCACGCACTACAGGTGTTACAAAAGACATGAAAAACCTAAATGCCGTTGACCAAATGGTTTTGTTCAGCACAAAAAAAATTCATGACCTTGGGGTTAGGAATTTGGTACCATTTCATGATTGTTAAAGTAGTAAAAATAAAAGCTATACAGGACATAACCCCAACAAAATCATGAAGTTGATTGCCACTTTTTGACATTTTCAAAAAGATCTAGTATATTAACTAGCCTTAAGCCATGAACTCTAATTCTGTAAACAACTTTATTTCTTAAAAGAGGTTGCATTTATTGATGTCATAAAATTACTATTAAAATTCAATTAACATTTTCCTCCTTAAAAAAAATTCTTTGCCTACGTGGCATCATGAATTATGTTCAACGCAAAAATAAGACCAAGTTAACAAAATTATAAACATATTAGCTAGGCCTCATAAATTTAAACTTTAGATTCTCATCCTAATTTGCTTAAAAATTGTCGCAGGTGGGCAGATTTTATTTTTTATTATTGAAAATATCTTCTCTTCTTAAACAAAATATTCACATTGTTTCTGCCAATAAGGATAGATGTATTGTTTATTCTCTTAAATATTTACAGAAAATTCTTCTTATACCGGCCGGTATATAAAATATTCACAGTGTTAATGAATTTACATGTACACATGTACGGCACATGCCACACATAACTGCTGCTATGAAATGTGATGCGGATCCTAGTAAGTTGTACATACTGCTGCTGTATGGGGTAGTCAACACTTCTCACTGGCCTTTCTGAACCACAGAAGTAAATTAATGTTATCTTAAATTCAGCATTATTGACATGTCTGAGTCTACCAATAGGTGACAATAGCTGCATGTCCAGTGATTCTATAGCTACCTGGCTAGAACCTTAATAAACTTCACCTCACTAACATATAGTAGGTGTGCTTAAAGTCCAGCTCTTCCAACAGAATAACTTATTTCACAACAATAGCCCATAATTTAAGTTCTAATACCTTGACTGCTAATCACAATTTCTCTGTTTATTGATAATGAACAAAAAACAATACTTCTACAGACATGTATGTGCAAAACTGCATATAGAGTGCAAAAAAACATCAATAACTTGATAGGTAAGATGACAACTGGGGTCAAAACTGACCACAGAGATAAGGAAGTCCCTCATAAAGTATATACACTGAGCATCTTCTTCATTCAGAGGAAGTCATATATTTTACAGGTAATGACAATATTAATATCTCATATACATAATGCACTGTACTTCTTTCTGAAATTGTCTGCACATGCACACATGCACACGAGGACAAAGCTCAAGTGAAATGGAGAAATGAGAGTAACCCATGACTTAGGGGCTATTTAGCTGGTACAAGCTTCACTGCAACCCAAACCAGTAAGTTGACATTTTTGATTCACTTCAAAACTAGGGAGTCATATATTTAAAGTCACATAAATGCAATTATACAAAATAGTTTTACATGAAATATTAAATGCTATCTGTGATATATGACATGATTAGGTAAATATGTGAGAATATCCTGAATGGTTTTGCATTCACATAGGTTCCAAACTTAAACTTCATTTCTTAAAATGTACCTTTAGGATAATCCAACCCATCTGCAAGTTCCTCAAACACGTCTTCCAGGCCAGAGTCGAGAGGAGGCGAGCTACAGCTGCTGTCCGAGTTGAGGATGGACCTGGTGGAGTCCATGATGATACGATAGCTGCTGATACGATACTCCATACTGGCCTGTGACAGGAGGTCCCTCAACCCACCTCCATCTTCACTGCTCAACTGAAAAATAATTAGTCAACTGTAAAATAAGGACAAGAGATCCCTCAACCCACCTCCATCTTCACTGCTCAACTGAAAAATAATTAGTCAACTGTAAAATAAGGACAAGAGATCCCTCAACCCACCTCCATCTTCACTGCTCAACTGAAAAATTAGTCAACTGTAAAATAAGGACAGGAGATCCCTCAACCCACCTCCATCTCCACTGCTCAACTGAAAAATAATTAGTCAACTGTAAAATAAGGACAAGAGATCCCTCAACCCACCTCCATCTCCACTGCTCAACTGAAAAATAATTAGTCAACTGTAAAATAAAGACAGGAGATCCCTCAACCCACCTCCATCTTCACTTCTCAACTGAAAAATAATTAGTCAACTGTAAAATAAGGACAAGAGATCCCTCAACCCACCTCCATCTTCACTGCTCAACTAGAAAATAATTAGACGACTATAAAATAAGGACAGATCAACTGCGACAGAAGATCCCTCAACCCACCTCCATCTTCACTGCTCAACTGAAAAATAAGTAGTCAACTGTAAAATAAAGACAGGAGTTCCCTCAACCCACCTCCATCTTCACCTCTCAACTGAAAAATTAGTCAACTGTACAATAAGGACAGATCAACTGTGACAGGAGATCCCTAAAAGCATCTCCATCTTCACAGTTAAACTGAAAAATTATTAGACAACTGTAAAATAACGACACTGGAGATCCCTCAACCCACCTCAATCTTCACTGTTCAAATGAAAACTAATTAGTCAACTGTAAAATAAGGACAGATCAACTGTGACAGGAGATCCTCAACCCACCTCCATTTTCCCTGCTCAACTGAAAACTAATTAGACAACTATAAAATAAGGACAGATCAACTGTGACAGATCAATACACCTCCACCTTCACTTCTCAACTGAAAATTAAATAGTCAACTATCAAATGAGGACAGATCAATTGTAACAGGAGAATCCGAGATCCCTCAGACCCACATCCATCTTCACTGCTCAACTGAAAATTAGTCAACTGTAAAATGACTGCTTAACTGTGACAGGAGATCCCCCTTCATTATCCTGCTTCAGACAAATTTGTGGAATATTGATTGGCTAAAAACAGATCACATGATGCTCGGAAATTTTCTAATACACTGTCTCCAAGCAAGGGGTGTGGTGTTTTAGACATTGGGCAGGAAATTCTGTTCTATGTTCATATGATGTAAACAAATAGCGACAAGCAAACAGTTTTGTTTTTTTCAAATTCATTGTACATATCTGTAACTGCGATGATGTAATATGAGAATAAATGTTCTTCAACGATATTTTGAATTAGGTTTTTTTAATATGAAACTGAAATTTCCCAGAAATCTTGTTAATGTTTTCAGGGGGATAAATTCATTACACAGTTAGTTGTGACCTAATATGGAGTCATCCAGGGTGCAAAATGGAAATCCGTATCACGACTCGACTGTGCTTTGTCCAATCTGCATTTCCATTTCACACCATGGACGACTCCGTATTAGGTCACAACTAACTGTGTAACTAATATTATTTTCCTTTGGATTGAAATGTTGCACTTTCATAAAATTAAATGACTGACACATGACTGTGGGCTATATTTCTATCTCCTGCAGTGAGAATTGATGTCTGGCAATATGGCCGACACACTGCATATACTGGTATGTTTCATTATTAGTAATCATTTGGAAACCACTTCCCATAGTTCTTTTTTCTTTTTGAAATTAGAGTAGCAGCCCTTTTAAGAAATGATATCCAATTTAATTGTTATGTCTGCATCGCAAGAGATGGTAGCATCTAGATTTGCTCAAACAAGAGAAAAAAATAAAATTAAACAGAAACAAATTATTTAATGTACAAAGGTTTCTCAAAGATTTTGAAAGATTACCTGATGGTAAAAGGTGAGATTGATAATTTCGAGTTTGACTGTTTGAAATTGGATGGGACTAATATTCCAGCTCTGAGGTTAGGATCAATAGCGGCCCAAAAATGCCCAAAAAAGTGACCAATTCCCATTCACTGAAATTGATTCTCTTTAAGAAAACTATTAGGTAATGCGAATTTTAAGCTCAAAAATTTAATAAACATAGAATTTCAAAAAATAATAATAATTTGTCAGAATTTCCAAAGTGTTAGAAAATTTCAGTCTCTGATCCCAAAGCAGGCATTAAGTGACTCAATTAATGAGTAATACCCAACAAATTCCAAAACTTTTACTATACAGAAATTGAAAATCAATATAAAATTTATATGCGTTATTAAACTCTGTCTCTTTTGAATGATGAAGGATAGTAATACTTCAGGAATTCCATTCTATGAATAAATATTGAATGTATTTGAACAACAAGATAAATATTATTAGCTCATATATGATAGCAACAATACTCCTCCGAGACAGAAAACCTGTTACCTATCAAAATTCCACGCCAATATTATTTTTACCCCGTTATTTTTGTGGCGAGGAAGAGATAATTGCTTCTGTCTCAAACCATTGTTTCCTCCGGTTTTCCGCTACAAGTTATACCCATACATATTTGTAAAAGCATCACATCAGTTAATTTCAATTATAATTTCTTATTTCTGAACAATATATTAAACATATCAAAATCTTGACGACTATTTAACAAAATACAAGTCATCATTTTAGGCAAATGAATTCTATTATTGATCTAAAATCTATGAATACCGGTACTTTTTACATCATGTAATGCATGCATATAAATCTGAACCCTATATTTAACAGGTTAATTAACTGTTAAAAGTACAGATCTGAAGTAGCCAAAAGCACTTTTTAAAAATCATTCCAAAGTTAGCAATTTATTCAATACACATGTCAACAGACACCTGACACCCACAAAAAAAAAAGAAAAGAAAACTAATTTCGTAGAAGATGTATAATTACTGGGCCCTATAAAGCAATGATGAACTATATTTTTTTTATAGTTGATAATAGCTAGTGCACAAACAATATCCACCTACAAGAATACTTAAGAATACCCCCTCAATCAGTTAAGAGCATAAATTAGGAGTGATCCCAGAAAAGTTTATCTGATCTGTCAAGAAAGGTGCTAAACTCTCCCTCGAAACAGAATAATGGAGATAATCCATGATGATTAAGGTAGAACTGTTTTATAAATATGTTTTTATTTTTGTTCGATGAATAGAGTTCACAAACCAGTCATCCTAAGGTCACAAAGGTTAAATCTAATCTACCACTGTGTTAATCTTTTACTGCAGAAACTCAATAAAACATAAAAGAATAGCTCTCAAGGTCAGACAGATAAAAGGTCAAAAGAATTTTTTTCCAAATTCAAAAAATTTAAAGTAGCTTCAAGAATAATTTAAAAACAAATTTTCATATTTTTCCTAAAAGAAAGTTTAGGAAGGAAAATGTTTAGTTTTAAAAAGAAGCTTTGCACTTTGTAATGCAGTAGCTATAACTTACATGACACGATAAAATATTTAAATTTTCAAAAAGCACTACTCTTGTAAAACAGAAGTCAAGCTACATACCAACTAAAAGAATCAAAGAAATTTCCATAGAAAGTTATCTGATCTGAAAACTTCAAGAGCAGTCAACTTGCCCATTCGAGATTAAAACCAAATAAACATTAAAGGGTCATCAGGAGTACTGGACAGTTGATTTTCAATCATCTACTGACAATTTAATTCTGGTATAAGATTCATGAGGTCCCTAAGGCTAGTTTCATTTCACACAGGGCAGCTTAAAAATGTGTTGCCTGTAAACTATATGGACTTACAATTAAACTTCCACACAATTTTTGACAGTTTGAAAATTCTGAAATTAAAAAAAATGTTTAAGTATTAATAGAAATTATATTCCCAAACAATTTTCCTGGAAAGGCATGTAATTACAGATGAAAATGAAAATGATCATTCCTAACCCCCTTTCCCTCTTTCAAAATTTCAAGACAAGAATTTAATTGCCTTAAAATAATTCAAATAAATAAAATGCACCAGGCTTTGCCAAGGTGGTGACATGGCAACATTCTTGACCTGTGCAGTTGACCTTTTCAAAAGGTCAAACAATTGCATACACCTGTCATTGACTTTCCAAGAAAAGCAATGTACACAAGTCCGAAAAAACAACAACCCCATTATTTATGTTTTCCACAAAACAAAGAAACAATAATCAAAATCAGTTATCTTCTTAATATCACTCAATCTATAGATCACAAATCATTGACTGCCTACGAATAAAAGCGGTACAGAATGGATTACCTGATGAGGGAATTTTGGCAGATCTATAAGTAGAAGAAGGATGATAGCAAGGCAGTTTGATGAATGATTGACTTTTTTTATAAACAGATCAATGATTTCTTGGACAGTTCAAGGGCTGAAGAAATCTGTGAGCAAGCCACACTCAATGTTCAAAATTTAAACCAAGTCAAAAACAGCTTTCTAATGAAAATTAGTGTTAGGTGCATTTAAAGAAATTGTACAAAGGTCTTAAAACAATATTTTATTTGGTACTTTTATCAATATCTATAGATGAACAAAACTAAAATAATAACAATTTTCAGGTTGAAAACATGCATAACTAAATTAAATAGTTTATATTAATTCTTTAAAAACATTTTTAAAAAACATGTTTATCTGTGCATGCATCACACTGCAGTGACAGCTTAACTAAATTAAATTCATAATGCATTCCTGTATGGCAGTGGTACTGTTACCTTGTAATATGCACATTCACTATAAATGAATTCACCTGGAATAAAACTTACTGTAGATTCCCAATTTGCACAACAGCAATTAATGGTCCCTGCTAAATTTTCTTTCTTCCCTTTTTTATTTTTATCTTAGTATTTATCTTATTTACTTTTTAATCATTTATTTTTATCTATTTATTTATTTTTGGAAATTATTATTAGTGTACATTTCATAAATAAACAGAGTAAGGAACTTTCACAAAAAATATCCCACAAGTTATATTAACTGATTGACCTATATACTTACATGTACATTATGTACATATTCACTGAAGCTCTCAATTCTTCTTCTAAAAGAACTTGTTCCTCTGGTATACATGGTCAAAGGCAAAGATCAAAGAAAACTCACATCAATAAGGCATTAATTTTTCCATATCAGCAATTTAGTTCTCCAAACTAGCATCAACTCAGATGAACTCCACAAACAAAATAATCAATGAGACATCTCACTTCTCTCAGAATGAACAATATTAATGATTTTCATAATTCGTCAAAGTACACATCTCGGAAGAAAAAAAAACCCATCTACAGTCAGGATCTTCTTGGACCAAAATAATATTCTTCCATGAGAGAGGGTTTCATGCAATCTGATTCATATTTTGGCAGACAAACAATATGTCCCAGGGTCATTTTCTACCTCCTCATCAGAGATGCTGTCTAGAAGAGGAGCTGTCGGGGAGATATTACAGGGGGTTCAATAATACCATATTTCCTGCTATTACTTGGAACCATATCAAAATCCTGTCCTCTCATAACTCTGCAGGTATTTATTCATTTCATACACATGGGAGTTAATAAGCTGTAATTTAAAGGTAGGGTGTAATTTGACATCAACTCGCACTCTTGTTCAAACATTTCATGAAATATCATCTTTTCAACTTCGTGCTACAATCATTGAATGTTTGGAATTCTGGACAAAGTAAATCGCTAGTCATCTACAACAATGAAGATCAAAAAGCTAGCAATCCCTCCGCTTGCACCATTGTCTCAGCAGCCAATGATTTTCATACAAGATTTTTTGACACAATTTCAGGATGTCAATATCAATTGAATTTACATTAGTTAAGAAAACCTATGAAGATAATTGTGAATGCTCTATTCATTATTTTGGAGACTGTTTTTCTCTGACTAGTCCCAAAATATCTTTGACATCTGATCACTTTCCAATTCTGTCCTCTAATTGATTTTCCTTATCTCAGGCAGGAACAGCCATTATCTAAATAGTCACTTCTGGTTGAGGTGGTAAGAAAAAATGAAAACAACACTCTCTTCTGGATCTCAGGATTCATTGCAATCCATCAGACATAAGGATCAACCACATCTCTCTGGAATTCAGTGACTTCCAAGTCTATTGTAAGGTACCATTGACAAAGACTAAGCTAAGTGTGTGCCAGGAAAAACAGAAGAAAGCCTACTTAACACAGGATATGAGCGACCACACAAGACTCATATGAATCTCAAAGCAAATTATGGTTTTAATCATACAGTTTACACCTAATTCTAAAATTTTATGAAATTTGAGAGATATGATACGGATATTTAATTATCAAATAAACTATTTATAGTCTAAACCAGCCACTACTTCATATTCAGCAAGTCTATCTTAGATACAGAAACACTCTTTCCTTATCAGAAGTTTAAAGTCGAAGACCACGATCTCTTCGATTAAATGGGTTTTTTTTTCCTTTTATCAAAACGCAATTACTGTCTTAATTAATTCCACACACTTCCTCTATGTTGAGAGATATTGATCCTTTTAATTGTGAATTTCCTTACCTTTGGTAAATTCAGATGCATTCATAATGATCCTGTAATCCCTCGATTCATCGGATGTCAAATCCCAAACTAAAGATGATTCTGTTTATGCAACATTTTACTATTTTCAAGGTCACATTTTAAATATATGTTTAAAATTATCCATATTTGTTTCAAGTGTAAATTATTGCCTCAAAGCTTTTAAGTAAACAATTAATTGTAACTTTTCAAAACTGTTTGAAAAAGACCTTTAAACTGCAGAACACTAATACATCTGGCTGTGCTCAAAAGAAACAAGTGTGACAAAAATAAAAAGGGAAAAAAACAATGGTCAATGAATCGCTTGATTGGCGTCCAATAAGTGATCTGTAATGCACAAATGCAGATGTCTTAAACCACTGGCTTTTATTGGTCTAGACATTAGACCGAGGCTCAGAGTAGTCCATCATGGACTAATACACCAGCAATCATTTCCTGTGTAACCAGTACATCGATGTTAACGTCATTAACAATTAACTAGAATTCAAAATATATCAAATCATGGCAGAAGATTATATAACCATGCAACCACAGTTCCAAAAGTGCCAAGATCCCAAGGTGATTTAACTCCTATAACAGCATTTACTTACATCAAGTATATATGATCCTAAATTCGCTGTCAAGGAATTTTCGTTACGTCTATCTAAAATGCCATTTATTTCTTTTTCTTTCACAACTTTGATGAATAAACTTATTTAATAATTTTCTGATGCTCATATTTAATAACTAATGATGTTTTAATGATTGTCAAGCGAATAATCAAACTTGTAATGATTGTTTTTGATGCAATTCAGTGGACAATCTCTGTGACATTTTTTCATATGGTCCGAAGAAATGAAGGAATAGCAGCAGTAAATAAAATCATTCCACCTAATTTTCTTGATTCGTTTATTATATACAAATTTATTTGTTAAATTTACTGGGTTTGTCAAAAAAATATTGAATATTTTTAAAATTTAACAATGGTTAAATTTTATGCTTGGGGATGTAACATTTCGTGTCAATTTTGTTACGTCTCGCGCACAGCCGCTTTCAGATACAATCGAAGGAAACTTCGATGATATGTTCTATTTATAGCAATTAGAGACGTCGTTAAAGATTTACGAACTATGGCTGTGTTCAAATGTGAAAGTATTATTTCAAAAATAATCATCACAATTTTATCTGTATTTTCGTGTCAAAACGTTACGTCTGTATACACGTGTCATACATCAAATACTCGGGTGACCAGAGGACGACATCCTGTTTGTATGACATTTTCTGGTCTCTACTTTCATTTTTGGTGAGACCCGTGCACGTGTTGGATCAGTTCCAAGAAAAAGATGACAGGAGACGCGAGTAGTAGGTAGGTCATTTACATGTTACGTCTCTCATTTTTTGGGGACCTCATCTTTTTCGGCGATTTAAGGATGTATTTTAAAACATATATAATGCCAGATTTGCGTGTTTGCAAAGAAGTAAGAATTAATTTTCTAATAAACTGTAAATATTGAACTATGCTACATTAATATAAGAATTATGCTTATTTATTTTCGCACTATGGTTGGACTGATTGTGTCCACAGTTACATCACATCCCCCAATCAAGTATTACCTAAATCTTTTAATTCAAAAATGTTAATTTACATGTGATTAAATTTCAACTGATTGAGCTTAATTTAATTGTATCAAGTAATAACCATTGTAAACTCTATTTTAGAAAATTTTAGAAAATATCTGAATATTTATAAAAGATGTAACTTTGACAAGATTATTAAGCCACAACAAAATGTGTCATTGTTACATCACTATTTATGAATGTGCATATTTTTTTGTTGATTGGCTTCTGACAAAAATACCTAATTGGTGTTTTAAGAAGTGCAAAACACACAATAAACTTGAGTGAAATAGTGTGTATTATACATTGTTCTGTCATTCTTTAACTTCATTACATGATGTAACATAGGACACTAGTTTTTTTGTCCAAGTTAAATTCGTGAAAATATCATGAGATCAGTGTTACATCACTATCAAAGTACAAGTATAGATCTTAATATCCTTGTCAAACTACCTTTTCACCATTTTTTTTCTTTTCTTTTCAGGTCATAGAATGGCCACTGATCACTTCTGTGACTCTTTAACTTGGAAAAGATCAAGATTGATATCTTGACAGAAGATAAAATGACATTTGTGTAGAAAGGGGCATATACAATACAATGTATATTATTTAAATAAAACTGAAAATTTGTTCAATTGTTTACTTATTTATTAAGTTAAAATTTTCTTAAAGTTTCCTGTGATCTGATTCAAAGTAAAAACTTAACAATTAAGTAAATTTAAAAAAAAAGTTTGTTGGAATGCTTCAGTGTCCAGTGTTACATCTCTATATGTTGAAATGAGGCATATAATTTTCTTCCTTTGCCATATGATTATGCAAACTTGGCCAAAAAATGCCCAAATGTAAGTGCAAATCCTTTAATAAAAAATTTCTTCAATTAATTTTAATTTTGGAGGAAATTTTCTTTTCTGTGTGCTGAAGTTTGTGTCCTGTTACGTCTGAAACAGAAGGTGATCTTTTTATGTATTAGTCTTTAGATTTGAGTGTAAATGAGAACAATGGACAGAAATTTTGTTTATAAAGGGGCAAAAATGAGTGTCACAAGTAAGATATAATTCAGTTGTAATTAATTAATTTGAATTAAACTTGAAGTGTCTCCGTTACATCACTCAATATTAATGAATTAAATTTTAATTGTATTTTAATTGTTTCAAGTGCAACTATCTCGGTCTTCCTAGGTGACTTGGTCCTGATACCAATCTTCAATTTGCAACAATTTTTAGAGTGATATCTTAAGTCTGAAATATTGGACACAAAGCTTTGAGTGATGTAACAAAAATTCCTTGACAGTGAATTTAAGATCATATATACTACAGTGTGTTTTGACACAATGATAGACCTGCATGCACAGTACATAATCCTTCATTCAGACAGCTAAAAATCACTCCCAAAAGAACAATTTGAGTAATACAGTTAAGTTTTTTAAAAAGACCTATACCAATAGGAATCATCTTTTATAAGGGCTTTAGAAGAGGGTTTTTCAATTGAATATTCAACATCTATTGTATTCATACAAATCTTTAACTTAAATGGTCATGATTGTTGCAGTATGCATTTTGAAAAATCATTGTTATTATGTAAATACTAAAATATGTACAAATGGTTGTAATAAATTGATACATCAAACTCAGCAGTATATATTTTATAACCAGAGATAACATATGTTAGTAGTCACAAATCAAATCACAAAAAATATTCCACATCCAACGTACAGTACCGTGATAAAGTTTCCAATTACCAGCAAATAATTTAATTTTGTTTGTATTCTAGCCTCTGATTGGTTAATATCCAAAAAGGAACACAAATTATTTCTGTATAACCTGGTTTGGTATGGGGGACACACCCCCTTGACAACCAGCTGAATCATCTGTTTCCATACAGTCCTCTCATTTCCAGTCCTCGGGATTCATGGAAAATTCCAGATTTAATAAATGTACCTTTAATTTCAAACGATAATTCGATCTTACCACATGTAACCAAACAACATGGCTGCTAGGCCTATGTATCAGTTTTTACCTCCCCTCGATTCCCATCACTTCCGTTACTTCCGTTACTACGGTTGTATTATTGAGCGGCAAATTTGAACTAATAAAAAGTAACGAAATTATTTTACACCCATAGTTATTTAATTATTTTAAAATTAAATTATAAGGAATGACTCTAATTCTTGGCCAAATTATTCGAGTATAACCTGGTTTTGGTCAGTTTACGCTGTTTTATAATCCGCTTCGCGGATTATAAAGCGTAAACTGACCCAAACCAGGTTATACTCGAATAATTTGGCCAAGAATTAGAGTCATTCCTAAAGTAACCCTTAAATCCTACAATGTCCTTCAAAACTTAAAGTACAAAGTGGGAAAATTAATTGTAACAAAAATATGGGTTCAAATTTCCTTTATCAAATATCCATTCATCTAGATTTAAAGTATATTTATATATTAAACTTTTAAAGTTTTTTTAAAACAGAAAAGAGGAATGTAAAAGATGCACAGAGGAAAAAAATCTGGTCTTTTTAAAAACTTATTGAACTTCGGTATCCTGTGTGGAATACATACAAGCTAGACTATTTAGGATACATATGTATGTCAGAAATGAGGCTTAACATTGATATCTTGAAACATCTTAGTTCTTTAAGTTTTTTTTGTGAATTTCATCCAGTTCCAGAGACTGGGATTTGACTATATAGCAATTTTCATAATGTACATGTACCACATATACTATAGCCTTTAAAACGAACATTCTCACTTACTCTTTTTCCTTGTCAACTGCTTCAACTTTTTCATTGCAAAATAATATGAACCTAATTACCTTATATAATAATTAATGTAAACTCAAATGAAGATTCTAGAAAACATTTAAATACTTATTTGGAATCAACTCTGTCACACCAAATGTAATTGGTGTATCTGTCTGTCTGCAAAATATATTTTATCATGATAGAAAGGCAAATAAAAACAAATAAAACTAAACAATGTTGAGATGATAACCATCACAAAGGGCCCTGCTTTTGGCAAAGGACATTAGGATGAAATTCCCCTTATCCAAGGCCAGGCTTTGGGTGATTAGTTTGAGTCGGGGCAAATGGGGGAAAATGCCCAAACATGGATTTTGCACAGAGAAGTTTGTTGACCTTGACTATTGATTGGAAAACTGGTTCAAGGTTACTGCTCACCCTTCACCGACAGCACTCTATGGATGAAGTTTGATCCTAACAGGGTTAAGGGGAGAGAAAATATGCTCCAGACAAGGATTTTTCAAGCAGAGATTTTCTGACCTTGACCTTTCATCTAGAAAATTGCTTCAATGTCACTGCACACCCTCTACCCAACAACACTGTATGGGTGAAGTATGAGCCCAACTGGGCATAATTAAGGGAGAGAAAATATACTCTGGACAAGGATTCTACACCAAGAGTTTTTTTCGACCTTGACCTTTGGTCTACAAAATACCCATGGGCAATCTATGGGTGAAGTTTGAGTCCAACTGGGCCAAGGGGAGAGAAATATGCCCCAGACAAATGAAATCAGATGGACAGAC